TATTTATTTGACAGAGAGAGACACAGCAAGAGAGGGAACACAAGCAGGGGGAGTGGGAGAGGGAGAAGCAGGCTTCCCACTGAGCAGGGAGCCTGATGTGGAGCCCGATCCCAGGACCCTGGGATCATGACCTGAGCCTAAGGCAGACACTTAACGACTGAGTCACCCAGGCGCCCCTGTCATGCTTTTTCCTGATGGGTCATTAAATGTTTAGGTGGGCTCTAGGGAGCACTCTGCCACCCAACATTGGAATGGGAGAAATGGCAGGCTAAGGTTAATAGCTAATGCCCCTGGGCCCTGTTGTGACACCATAATGGTTACTGTTGATTGGACAGTTGTAGGCTTTGAGACCGGTGATTGAGACAAGGCCCTTTGTTCAAGACTGATTCAGCTGTTGGACCTGCAGGAGCCTGAGTGGTGAGTAGGTTCTCTACCCTACCCCACACCCAGAAGAGGAGGGAGACCATGAAATTGTGCAGCTAGAATTTGGAGAATTCCTTCCCTCCCTAATGTGTAGAATAACTGTTGACAAAGAAGTCAGAGTGAACGGAATCATTGAAGCCAGCTGGTACTTCTGTATAGTAACATACCCAAGAATATTTCATTTTTAAAACAAAAAAATACACCCAGAAGAAAACTTCTTAAGGCAAAATGCTGTCTACAGTTACTGCTTTACATTTATTCAGTGATTGGCTCTGCCCCTGAAGGACTTTGCAGCCAGTTGAAGACAGAAGACAAAACACATAAGGAATTCCTGCTCCAGTTGTCTGGTGTTTGGTGATCTTGGGGGATATGGGAAATTCACAGAGAAGTCCTAAAACAAAAATAATTTTACTTCTATTTAATTTATGAGCTATGTATCATCAGTACAGCTTTTTAGTAAAATACAGTTTATAAAGTCAAGTGATAGTAAATCTCAACTCCAAAGAAAGAGGAAAGGAAGAATTAGCAACCTCTCAACAAGAGGATAGTTTCAAGGTATGTGCTCATGCTTACTCCTGAATTCTGGGAGAAGACTGGCATGTCATAGAGCAAGTGTGGGAGGCAAGGGGGGGCAGGGGGCACCTGGGATGCTTGGGCAGGAGGAAGCCTAGGGGGCTGACACATGCCTCTTCACAACTTTGGGGAGGGTGCAGAGGAGCTGAAGGGAAGACTTACTGTTCTACAAAGAGATTGGAACAGAAGTATTCTGCCAAACCCAGGTTGGTGAGACCTTTCTGGTGAAGGACTCGGGGGGTGGGGATTTTCTCTTAAAGTGAGTCAATGTGACACCATCAAGAGTTTTCTTTCTTAGACAACCAAATAGCTCCATCTCAGCAGAAGGGTTTTTTAAGGACCCCTGTGAGGACAGTGGCAGAATAGGTGAGGATCCAATTTCATTTTGATATCAGAATTTTGTTTTGCTGAGAGTCTGAGTATTTTGAAAGTGTTTCTGCCCACTGCCTTTGGTGAGAAGCACAGCCCCTGATGAAAATACCCCCATAGTCCCATGATTCAAAACATTTTGTCAGGATACTGCAGAACTTCCCCTTGGTGTTATAGCCCAGGGTTTTTGTTACAGCTGAAACTGTTAGGGCTAATCTGTGGGGCTCTCCCTCTCCCTTGGAAAACTGGGATTTAACCTTATTAAATTTAGTTTTAGTCCTTCCCAGGCACAGTGTCATCTTTTCTTTAAACATTAGCTCATTCATTCATTCATTTATTCATTCATTCATTCATTTTTTACAGTATGTTCATAAACATGATGAAAAAGCTCCAAATCTGCTCTGCTTAGGAGCTCCTGAGAGCCCAGGAAGGTTGAGGTGTGTGTGGCTTCTGCCTCATAACAGATGGAATGCACGGATTGCGTGCACACAGGCTTGTGGGGGTGTCTGAGGTTACTTTAGCAAATGGGTCAGGGTTCATTAGAATGAAGTGCTTTTTTTGGTTAATGGAAAGTTTGCCTGAAAATCATGGGGCCAGGCCTCAAATCCCATGATGTGGAGGAAGAGCCCTGAAGGCCTCCATCCTTTCTGGCTGTGAGTGTGAGGCATATGCCTGCCCTGTCTTGAATCACTTAAGAATCCTCCCTTGGCTCTGACCCATTCCCTGTCGTGTGGTTATCACTTCCTCAGTGTGGGGATTTATTTTTTTTCTCCCTAAGAGTGAAGACTCTGGAGGGAAGTCCGTGAGGGTGAGGAGGGTAAAAATAGAGCATCTGTGCCCTGGACGAGTCTTTCCTGGTTGTGTGAGATTTCAAGCAGTAGACGAGTCCAGACTTCTTCGGCCAGGGGCAGCCTTTGCGGGGGGGTAGCTGGCACGGTGGCTGGCTCTGCTGTCCGCATCTGCTGGGGGTCACGTAGGATAAGCAACTTTTGTCTTCAGCTGGATGTTCTGAGTTTGGAAGGGCCAGAGGACATGTCTCCCTGCCTTGACAGAGAGGGGAGTGTGGGAATTTTTGTAGCAGGAGTTGGTGGTGTTCTCTCTGGTGGATGAAACAAAGAGCTGTTTCTCCTTTAGACTCCGTGCCAAATGAAACTGCTTGTGGTTCTTGGCACCAGCCACACCTCTCTAGGTCAGCTGTTGCTTACCCGGTGTTGGTGCCGGTTTGGGAGGGAGGGGCGGCGTAGAGGGGTGATGAGAACAGGAGGGAGCTCGGAATTTTCCTGGAGGACCACAGGTGGGGTGGGGGTGCTGTCCTTTTTACTGCTTTCCTGACTGGTTCTTCCCTGTCTTTTTTGGTTTCTTTCAGCCTTTTATTGTGGAGGTTAAAAAGTAAGTGGACAGTTAGTTGCCAGGTGAGGTGGTAGTTCCTCACCTCCCTCCTGGGAGCGGGTTTTACTGTAGGGCAATCACAGGGGGAAGCTGGAGAATGTGATCCAAGAAGAACATGAGAAAGATCCTTCCAGAAACTTGTCCTGACTGAGCAGAACTCCAAATAGAACATCACAGTAGCTGCTTATTGTTCAGACCTCAAGATCACACCTGGAACGTAGGTACGACTGTGTTGTTTACCAAGAACTTGTGCACACTCTCACCGGGGATTGCGTGCACGCTAGCTTCTGACCCTCCTGTTCCTGCAGAGGTAGCGAAGAGCACCCTGCCGTTTGTAGTTTTGGCATCTCTCTTCTCCCATCCCTGCCTGCCCTCTGCACTAATGCCCTGAAGGTTTGGAAGGGAGGCATCAAGGAGGAGGAGAGCTTTGGACAGCTCACTTGCGCACGTGAGAAGGCTGCGCTCACCGCCATGGGGAGCCTCTGTCCCCCGCCTCCCATTTCTCCTCTTCATTTCTGTTTGGTTCATTCGCTCTCTTAGCCATTCAGTCATGAAATCAGCTCGAACACACTCCTAATTATGGACCAGGTACTGAGCTTAATGCTGAACAAGTCCTATGGTGGCTGCCCTCTTAGAGCTTGTAATCATGTGGGGAAGACAAATACTAAATTAAACAAGGAGGTACTGTGTTCTCTCTGTCTTAAAGGGTACCTCTCAACTCCTCTGAGCTGCCCACGAAGGAGAAGGTAACGTGGGCTGGCCGAGGAGCTTCAGAGCAGGGTTAGGATTACTCTGACATGTGTGCTGCTTCTTCCCTTGTTCGTGGGGAGGGTTGGGGTGTGGGGGGAGGGCCTGAGCTTTTGCCCCACTCACTAGTTCCAACACCCTGGGGGGCTCGCTCAGTCTGTGTTTGCTTCCCTACCATCAAGCAGCTGCGATTCTGTTACATTCCTTACCCTGCAGAGTGCTGGCGAATTGAGAAAGCAGTTTAGGAAATCTGGAGCTCTGTATAACATCGAGTATTTTTGATAGCATTGTTCACAAGGACGCAGCCAGGCGCTGCCCGTTTGAATTAGCACTGCGCTTCAAGGTCTAACTCCCTCCGCCTGAACTGCTGAGCTGAAAGGGGGTTCTCCTTCCTCTCAGCCTCTGTCCCTTTGCAGCCACCACTCATTTCATGGTAATTGTTTGGAAGGCTCTTGTTTGCTAGTTTTGGACTTTCTCTAAACTTTCCATGTGGTTTTCCTCTAAACTGCAAGCCTCTGGAGGCCTGTGTCTTGTTCCCTTTCTCTGCTCCCCGCCTCATCTAGTACAGCTCCTCATGCAGGCTTTCTCCCCCAAACCGTGCCAGCCCACCCTTCTCTGGGCTTGTGCTCATCTTTGCCAGGAGCGTCCTCTCCCCCCTGCAGGGCTCCATCTCTGAAGTTCAGCTCAAGCAGCCCCTCCTCCAGGAAGCTCTCCTGGCTGTCTGCCCCTTTCCTGTTGCCTCAGGCTTGTTTCCTTCCCGGTACTCTGTGTTCTTTTCACCACATTTAATACTTTGGCTGAGGTCCCACACTAGCCCATGAGCGCCTTGAGGGTAGAGATGTGTCTCATTCTCTTTTCCTTTCCCTCAGAGCCAAAGCACATCTCAGCCGGCTTGGTCTCGCCATGGATATGAGTCTGAGTACCATGCATGCCCGCCTCAGTGTTAAGACTTCTGTGGTGACAAGTAATGGAATTGTCTGGAGCTAGCTTGCTTAGAGGAGACCTTTATTCTAGGATACAGGGTGAGGCTCAGGACTGGCTAGCTCTGGGACGGGACTAACGAGAGCCTGGGCTCTTGGACCTACGCTATGTGTCTGCTGTGTTCTCTCTCCCTGCTGTGCAGATTGCTTGGGTAGAAGATGCCTTACTCTAAGATCCTCAGCTGCTCTGTCATGGGTCCGGCCTCTGGAGACGGTCTCTTCGTTCCAGTTCGTCAGACTGAGAGAGGCTGTGGTCCAGCTGTGCTCCAGTGCTGGCCGTAGACCGGTCATCCCTAGCCGTGGGAATGGAGGGCTCCTACGGCAGACACATGGCTCCTGGCGGTGTCGGGGTGGTGAGGGAGGGATGTTACGGGGTCCACTCTGAACTGAGAGGACACTCTGAAAAGCTTTCCACTCCATGTAGCAAATCTGTTAGCTGGATATGTACCCTGCAAAGGTGTCAGGAGGGGCACCAGGTGCCTTCTGCCTTGAAGTAAGTCTGAGTGGCTTTTCTTTCACCCCTTATTTCTGGCTTCTGTCAACCAGTTGAAGGATGGGACAGCTAGCCCTTTCAGATGGGGTGGGCAGAGTGAGAACACCCCATTAGGAGCTTTGGCAAACCCTGTCTCCTATGGCTAGGGGTTTGTGAACATTTCGTATCAAGTCTGATTTATTCTGGAACTGTGCAGAAAATCAGCTTCACCCAGCCCCTTCACCCGACCTGAGTCGAGTGGGAGTGCTGGGTGAGGGTGGCTGGCAGCAGCTGTGCTTATTTACCTCTGACTGCTTGGGAGGGGGTCCGGTCCTCCCAGGGTGTCCCGCATCTGGGTCTCTAGACGGAGCCGGGCTGCGGCAGTTGGGTGAAGCTGCAGAAAGTTAGTGGGGGTATGTCGCCGCTAGGGCTGATTGATTTCAAGATCACAGGGCAGGCACACCTAGACCTGAGGAATGTGGGAGCTGGATGAGAGCTTGTAAGCCGTCTGGTTCCACACTCCCCCCCCCCCACCCCCCAGGACGCAGGTAAGAGAGGCGAGGTTCCAGGGCTCTAGGGAGCCATACAAAGTCACCGCAGGTAGCCGAGCAACCTCCTGGCTGAAGTGTACTTCACCAAGCTACCGCCTCATCCTGAAACACTGCCCCTGTCTGTTCTCCGATGCTTAAGATCCCTCCACCTGGATAAAACATGGTCCACCTGTGCCCCTGTTGATGCTTTCTGGCTGGGTAACGTGGCACTCAGTCCTCATCAGTAGAATGGGAACGGTGATGGTAATAGTGGCCACCTCACAGAATTGTTAGGATTAAAGGCAGAAAGATATGCACGGCCCTCAGATCAGTGCCTGGCTCAGACTAAGCTCTCAATAAGCATTAGGTATTATTGTATCACAAGTGATAACGGTTTAAATATATGTTCTTCTCAGGGAGGTGGCCTTGTAATTTTCAGTCTCCCTAAAGATGAAATGTCTTAGAGGAGGCTGCTTCCTGAGATGAGGCTTTTAGGAGATTATAGACCCATTAGAGGTTCTTTAAATCATGCCTTTTGAACGAGGCTTCTTAAACTTTAATGTGCATGGGAATCCCCTGGTGCCCTTGTTAAAATGCAGATTCTGGTTTAGGTCTGGGGTGGGGGGCTGAAGTTCTGAATTTCTCATATGCTCCCTGGTGATGCCAATGCTTTCAGTCCTTGGGGACCACAGTTTGAGTCACAAGGATTTAGGGAACGTAGATTTCATCTAGTACAGGACTTAACCCTGACTGCCAAAGAAATACGCTGCAGACAATGCCACTTGCCTGTACCGTTTTATTTTGTAATTTATTTAATAATTAGTCGGACTTCATTTCTAGGTGATGGTGGGGATATTGCTGAAAGTTTATAAAGCAATTCATCAGAACCTGAATTCAATCTCAGTATTGAGACACGGATGTTCTCTATGAATTAATTGTTCTCTCTCCTCTGGGTCACTGGAAGTGCTTTCACTATAATCTTATCACACGTCAGCTCATTACCAAGGATACTTCTGTGGCAGCTAACCAGCCATACCCATCCTTTCCTTCCTTACTAACCAGACCTCAGTTTTATTTGAGGTGGGAGTGTATTAATAAAACTTTATTTACCAGCCTCTTGGGCAAAGAGGGGTGGCCAATAAGATGGAAGGCAAGGTCATTAGGTAGGACTTCAAGAAAAGGTCTTTATTTAAAGAGAATTTACTCAGTGGGTAGGTAAACATTCCTCTTAACTTCCTGCCTGGAACACATACGTAATGCCTGGGACTCCAGCAGCCATCTTGGAACATGAGGCGACCATGAGATAAGGATGGCAGGGCAGAAAAATGGAGTTGCGGCACATTGATGATGTCACGGCTTTTCCTTGCTTAGCTCCAGACTTCTTTTACGGAAACAAATAGTTGTTTTGGCCACTGTCTGGGTTTCCTGTTATGTGAAGGCTGCTGAACTCAGTGCTGACTATCAGAGCAGATGCAGTTCAGCAGCGTAGACACAGGTTTAAATAGGTGTCCTAAACATCTTTCTGAGCGCCCTTTGTGGCATTCGCTGGTCAATGTAGGGGCGTGGGAACTGGGTTGAGAGCGAGAAGCCCGGGGTTCCCAGCTACGCTCTGCCATTCCCTCGCTGCATGATCCTAATCCTTTTAAGCCTCAGTCTCCTTGCCTGTAAAATGGGGATGGGAGCCGAAAGTGTCCCTTGCAGTCTCGGGGTGCAGAACTCACGGCAGCTGGTGTTGGGATGGTCTCAGGATGATGGTGTGAGGACACGAAGGTCAACCTGGCAGCAGTGACCAGTGCCGATGTGAGCAGTGAGGGGGATGCAGGGCGGAGGCTTAGGTGGAGCCGGGGGTACACCATCCAGGGCTTCCTTTAGGGTTGCCCACCTGGGTGTGCCACGGGCAGCAGAGCCTGCTGCCTGTGCCATAACCGGAAGGGGTTGGACTGAGTGCCCCTGCGAGGGTGATTTTGTTCATAGGAGGGGGTGGGACCCAAACCGCGCTCCGCTGGGCCTCCGTGCCCTTGCATCTTCCCTGCACCCACTCGTGAGCTCTGAGCCGAGGCCTGGGAGGAGGCTCAGGCAGCATCTCCATTCCCCTCGTCGGGTTGCTGCTGAAACGCAAATGCCACTACCCGACTACTTGCACGGTCCACACCTTTTCTGTCCAAATCAAAGACTTTTCTTTTTGGCTTCAAATTTCTCTCCACAGCTGTCCAAACCCAAAGCCATCTCTCTCTGTCCTTCCCCTCTTTCCCACTTCAGTGACTTATGTTCTGCACCTGCATTGTATTCACTCATGCAGAGCTAGCTGGTTCCTGGAGGGCAAAACCATGCTTTACAATGAACTGAAACTATAGAGACGTGCTTATCTCCCAGCCTGGGGGTGCTGGGGGGGTGGCGGGGAGGTGAATGGCAGAGGCCTGAAATAGGAACCGCTCACTGCTCCGCCCCATGGGGCTCCGTTTTTCTGACCAGCTGCTAGATGGTCTGAAAAATGCCCACATTTCCTTATTGTGGTCTGTTCCTAGATTTTCAGTTGTGATATAATTGAAATAGGTTTGTCTGAGTAAACACATTACACATAGATAAGTTTCCTCGTTCAGGCAAGACTCAAGGTAACCAGTACTGTATGTACTTTAAAATCCACCCCCCCTTTTTTTAAAGTTTTATTAAGTCATCTCTACACCCAACATGGAGCTTGAACTCAGACCCCGAGATCAAGAGTCACATGCTCTACTGACTGAGCAAGCCAGGCGCCCCTGTTACTGGGGTTTTGAATGGAAGAGGGACGTGTGTGTGGGGGGGTAGAAGGCAGTGGGGCAAGTACACATATAGTGTACTGTATGCAGTACACGGCGACAGCCCCAAGGTCCCTTCCTCAGAAGCAGCTGTTCGCCTCTACACAAGCGTGGGACCGCAGGTGCTTTTCTAGGAAGAAGGAAGGACAGCATGGGGCTTTATCTTGCTGGCTTTGGGGCTGTCGTAACTGAGTCCGTGAGAGCGGATCGAGGAAAACCCAAGAGAGTTAACTGGCAGCAAGAGGCTCTTGTGCCATGGGTGGGTGGGTGTTCTGCAGCGGGGTGAGCCTGGGGGCTGCTGGGGGTGACCATAAGCATTTTAATGGTAGCTTGGAAAATCCGCGCCCCCTCCACCAACAACAAGGCAGCACAGAATGTGAATAAGGTCAGCTTCCTGGCTGGTGATAGTTTTGCCGTTTTAACCACAGGGCCTTGTAGAGCCGGTGTCCTGGCTGGGGCTCTCTTTCTGGGAGGCTCAGGTGCGAAGGGGAAAAGACCCAGCTCTTGCACATGCACTGCCCACTGGGATGCTGGGATAAATGCTCTTTACCCCGATTCTCTTCATGGGGGAGACTTTCTGAGGTAATAGGCTTCACCGATGTGTGAAATAGTTTTACCTGCTTAGCTGAAGAAACTCGCATGCCCTCTTCTGGGAGGGGGGGCTGTGAAATCACGGGCTTTGTAAAGACATAGCCTCCCATGGACCCTCAAAACCCCCCCTTGAACGAGGTGTCAGTGGTCAACCATCCCACTCCAGGTTGGTAATTAAGGAACAGACTGAATCTTCCTCCCTCCCTCCCAGTCTGTCTTCTCCTTTCTTTTGGTTTTTTGTTATTCTATTTTTTACTAAAGGAACCACAACGGCCACGATGTCACCATGCAGGAGGCATAGAACCTCCATGATGACAAGGTACAGTCTTGATCTGCTGCGGAGGAGAAGAGAAAACAGCGTGTGGAATTCCAGCTCAGTATAGCATGCATCTTAACTGGTTTGTCCAAGCTTAGATGAATCCATTAAATTGTGCTTTCGTGGTTTATTCTTCCTGTCTCTTCTGCAAACAAATTCATTAATTCACTTTTAAAAAGGCTCTTTGCCTTCATCAGGGGTGTTGCCCCATGGAAATATGGAAGATCATGGCCTCTTATGTTGAAATAAGGAGCATTTTTTTTTAATTGCACATAATGAGCAGAACCCCCTTTTACCAAATCATAGCATTTGGGAAAGGGACTGGTTGTGTGCCCACGATTGATTCAATGTCAGACGTGTTCTTCCTCTCTGGCTTTAGGCAGTGTGCTGTTCTCTTCCTGCCTTCACCACAGCCCCAGGTGGGCCCCGTGCCGTGCCACTGGCACAACCTGAGTTCCCTTGCAGGAAGTCATAAATACGGGCCGACTGGCTCCTGGTTGGTGGGGTAAGGCGCCGCTGGCGGGAGCCACAGACGGGCCGGGTGCTACCTGGCGGGCGTGGAGAGACCTGGGTGTCTTTCCTGATCTGTGGTCCCCAGTGTCAGAAGATGACATGATCACTTAAGACAGGCCAGTGGGAGAAATGGATGGCAGCTGAGAGTCTGAGAGAGAGGCGGGGAAGCAGCACGTGCGTTGACCTAGTCGTGAGGTTAAGAGTGAGGCTTCAGAGCCAGACCCAGTTTGGAAGCTGCCAGGGGTTGTAAGGAATAAATAAAATCCTCCATGACAATGGTGTAGCACAGCCCCCAGTACGTAGTCAGTGGGTCCTATTTGGGAGCTGCGTGTGCTGGTATTAACAGGAATGAAGTGCTCACACAGCCTCTGTTAGAAGTTGGGGGCCACATGTCAGGTACCATAGAGCACAACTCTCTGTTCACACTATTTTGTTTTTGCACGCATGAGTGCTCTGGCTCCTCACTAGAGTCCAGGGTCACCTAAGCGAGGCCTCTCGTGGACTCCATTCAAGGAAGCTTAGGTGCTTAGTCCCCAAAGCCCGTTTGCTGTCCCTGAGGTGATCACCGAAGCATGGCGCCATCACCAGCCCACTTGCTGGGCTCCAGGGCCACACTCGCCCCAGGGGCCTGCCCTGGGGCCTCTTGGCAGGAGGACGAGGCAGGGGGTGGGCCACACCAGCACGGAGACCTGTGCAATGGAGATTGGGATCTCACCAGTAGGGCAGGGGGGCCGGCAGACGTCAGGTAGGAGAGGGATGGGGTGCGAGCAGGTCTGT